TGTGCTTTTTCCCACTTGAAAATTTTCTTCCTGTTTCACAATATGTATTAATACATTTTGGTCCTTGTTTACACTTTTGGTTTCTCACAACAGGGAAAAACGTGGCATTTACCATATCCAATTTATTTCACTTAACAGTGTGGTCTCAAGGTGCATCCGCTTAGCTACAGGTAGCTCAAGCTTATCCTTCTTTATGGCAGAAGAGTAGTCAATTGTATACAAACCCACATCTTCTTTATCCATTCATCAGTTGATGGGCATTTGGGCTGTTTCCAAGATTTAGCTATTGCAGACTGTGCCACTGTATTCATGGGTGTGTGTATATCACTATGGTATGATGCTTTTAATTCTTTTGGGAAGATACCAGGAAGGAGAAGAGCTGGGCCAAAGAGGATCTCTAGTCTTAGCTTTTTGAGGAGTCTCCACACTAATTTCCACAGTGGTGACTTTGCCTCTTTCATTTCTAATTCGTGGATTTAGGTCTCATCTTTCATTTTTTATATAAGACTAAGGATTTGTCTATTTTGTTCAGTCTTTCAAAGAATCAGTTCTTTGATTCACTGATTCTTTGTATTGTTCTTTGTTTGTTTAAGACAGGGTTTCACTATGTAATTCAGGCTGATCTTGAATTCACTATGTAGTCCATATTGGCCTTGAACTCTCAGTGATCCTTTTGCCTCAGCCTCCTGAATATTAGGATTACAGGCTTGTGCCACCATGCCCAGCTGTGGTTTCATTAATTTCTGTCCTTATCTTTGTAATTTCCTTCCTTGTACTAACATTGGGTTGGAATTGTTTTTATTTTCCTGGGACCTTTTGTTTCTTTGAGGTCTATTATTAGGTTATTTATTTGAACATGCTATGTTTTCCTAATGTGGGAATTTACTGCTATAAACTTCCCTTTTAGGATGGCTTTCATGATGTCTCATAGATTACAGTATGTTATACTGACATTATTGATTATAGAAACTTTCTAGTTTCCTCTTTTATTTCATCTGTGACCCATTAATTGTTCAAGAGGGTATTATTTATCTTTCATGTGTTTATATAGCTTCTGGGGTATCCTTTGTCATTGATTTCTAGTCTCACAGCACTATGGTCCAGTAATATATGTGGGATAAGTTTAGTTCTTTTGCATTTACATAAGCATACTCTATGAGTTAGCATGTGGTCTATTTTTTTTTTTTTTTTTTGGTGGAACCGGGGATTGAACTCAGACCCTCGCACTTGCCAGGCAAGCACTTATCCTACTGAGCCATCTCCTCTGCCCATGTGGTCTATTTTAGAAAAAGTTCCATATGATGCTGAAAAGAATGTTTACTCTGTTGTTGAGTGGAAGACTCTGTAAATAGCTATTACATGCATTTGTTCAGAGGTTTGGTTCAGCTCTGAGAATTTTTTTGATTTTTTTGCCTAGTTGATTTGCCCCTTTGTGACAGTGTGGTATTGAGAGCCCCCATTATAAGTGTATTGGTATTCATCTGAATTTTCACATCTATTAGTGTTTATTTTATGATGTTGGAGATGCTGATGTTTGCTGAGTATATATTTACACACAGGTATTCCTCATTTAATGACTTACTCTTTAATGACTAGTTCTACTGTTTGGTCTTAACTACTAGGGCATTCCCCTTGAACTTACAACCCAATACTACTGAGACTTTGATCTGCATTTGGACTCATAGTGTGTCCTTCTTCTACAGTACAGTTCTCTAGTATTTGCTGGTTTACTGCACAGTATGGTACTGTAGTGTTATGTTCTGCAACACACTACCATACTGCATGTAAGAGTTATATAAATAAAGACAAAGGGCCAGGGAGATAGCTCAGTAGAATAAGTACTTGCCTGAGAAGCTCAAGGTCCTGAGTTCAATCCCTGGTACCACAGAAAGAAAGAAAGAAAGAAAGAAAGAAAGAAAGAAAGAAAGAAAGAAAGAAAGAAAGAAAGAAAGAAAGAAAGAAAGAAAGACAAAGTCATTACACTGGGGTTTCTTTTGACCATTTCTTTGTTCTGAATATTGTATTGTACATACTTTTGACAGCAAGGCGTCACATATGTGTCGCCACAGAAATTTGAGGTTTGGGGCCTGTGAGATAGCTCAGTGGACTAAATGCCTGCTTAGGCAAGTGCAGGGACTGCAGTTCAATCCCCAGCACCACATGCAGTGCCAACCTCACCCCAAGGCACACTGAGCCAGCCACTGAGACCCTATGTTGTGGCGCATGCCTGTAATCCCAGTACTAGGAAGGCTGAAAACAGGAGGATCACTACGAGTCTGAGCTGCATTGTGAGACCCTGTACCAAATACATTAAAGAAAAAAAGAAACAATAGGGGCAGCTGCTGCTGGGAGCCCTGCATACCTCACAGGGGTTTTCAGTGTTTCGTCCTCTCCCCCCAGGCGGCCTCTGTGGGCCTCTTCCACTGTCCACCAGGTGAGGGCGCAGGGTCGGCAGGGTCCCCTGCTTTGAGGATGGTCATGTCTTGGCGGTTTCTGGGCCTCCACAACCCTTAGGACCTGGGAACCCTCATTACTTTTCCTCAACTGCTTCCACCAAGCCGCCGAACCCACATGGGTCCCGTGGGCCCATCCTCAGCTTCTGAGGCTTGGGGCCACCTTGACCCCTCACACGATCGATGATGTGGTCAGTGAGTTTGGCTGTCCTCATTGCCTTATTTTTCGAAGGGAATTTTTCTTTTTTTTTTTTTTTTTTCTTTTTTTTTTTTTTTTCGGAACTGGGGATTGAACTCAGGACCCTACACTTGCCAGGCAAGCGCTTATTCTAGTGACCTATTTCCTCAGGCCCTCGAAGGGAATTTTGAAACTCCCCATCTTAATCTTTCCCCTACCCTCACCTACTTATGTCGTTAATCTTCCTGTATTGAGGTGGTACCTCATCTAATCACGTGCATGTGCCTGCCTTTTCCTTTCTCAACCAACTCACAAAGCTTGGCAGGAAGTTGACCCAGAGCCCTCCTGCTTCTGTTTTCTCTGCTGCTGGCTATCTCCAAGGTTCATTGTGGGGTGAGATTTCCCTCCCGCCCTCCCTCCCTCCCTCCCTTTTCACTCCCCTCTTCTCTTTCTCCTCTCTCCCTCCCTATTTCCCTTCCCATTCATTCACAGACAGATAGATACCCAAGGCCCTCTGTAGCTAGAGCTGTGCCTGCCCTGTCTCCAGGTGGACTCTCCTGTTCCCTGTCTCCTGGTGACACAGATGTGACTGCTGATATTGCCCTGGGCCTTCTGTTCTGGGAGGCCTCAGCCAGGAGCCCCTGTAGGCCATGACCAGGGGCCTGGAAAGCCACCAGAGATGCACTGCTGTGCAGCAAGCCTACCTCAGGGTTTGTCCTCAGCACACACGTTTTGGTGACTCCTCATTTGGGAACCCAGGTTCTGAGTCACCAAGGCTCTGCCCACAAACTCTGTGGACCTTGAGCAAAGGATTCCTGCTTCCAGCCCCATTTCTTCTGACATGCCATGCAAGGATTGGACTAGCGCAGGAGCAGTGAGTTACCTGCAGAGGCTGGGGGTTAAGTGTTTCAGATTCAGTCATCAACCTCTGTTGCAGCTCCTCAGTTCTGCCTTTGTAGCTCCAGATGAGGCTTTGGAGTAGCTCTGATCCTGTGCACCAGCATTTGGGAAAATAGGGATGCCTGTGGCCAGGACCAGACCTCCTGCCCAAAGCTTATCACTTCGTGAGAGGCTTTAGCTCTGGGGGTCCTGTATGGCTGATGAGGACTGGGCCCACCTGAAGGCTATGTGGTCCTCCACCCCCACCCTGCCACTCCTCAGCTCATCAGCTCCTCCTGCTGAAACCAGGGCTTCAGGAGGGAAGGGGGTTAGGATCCAGTGGCCTGGGAGGACAGGCAGCTGGCTGGAATGGGGGTGGGGTGGCTTGGGCCCTGAGACCTCACAGGTGAGGACTGACTGCCTACCCAGTCACAGGGAGGAGAAGGGGGCAGGGACCAACAGAAGGATGTGCAGGGGGGATGCTTGTCACTTGCCGCAGGTCCCCTTCGTGCCAGCCGAGGGTCCCAGTTTTGTGCCTGTGTCTCAGCTCTTCCATCCCAGACAAAGGGGTGTGAGGGACATAAAATCCTTCAAGTGCCAGGGGTATGGAGTCCAGCAGAACCCATCAAGGATATGCCACGCACCTCCTCCAGGCAGGGAGGGCACTGTGAGGGCCACCGGGCTGCTCTCGGAGGGCCACTGACTGCTGAGGTGGTCTGTGTGCAGCAGCATGCTGAGAGTGCTCGTGAGCACCTCCCACTGCAGGAAGCAAATCGTGGGTGCCAGTGAGCCCCAGAGGTCAGCCTGTGTCTGTGGAAACAGAGGGCTGAAAGGAAGGAAGAAGCAAAGAGAGCAAGTGGGGTGGGTAGGAAGGAGAGGACAGAGCCGGAGGCTCTGTCTGTCCTCTGTCTGTCTGTTCCTCTCATTGTGGATCAATGATAGGAACAGAAGGGCGGGGGACAGTGGGGTCCCCTGATGCAGAGGCAGGGCTTGGAAGTGAACCTGTGCTGCGAGGCTCGAGGAGGAGGCCTGCGCCGTCCCTCTAGTGCCACCATGCCACGTCATGCACTCTGAGCACCCAGGAGAGACCAAAGGAGACAGTAACAAGGTCCAGACCACAGCAGTGGCAGGTGACAAATGTCCAGAGAGGCTGCCTAAATACCTGCCTGTAGGACACAGCTTTCACCAGGGTTTTTCATTAAAGAGAGAGAATTGCTGTTTGGCCTATGGGAGTATGAGCTCCAGCAGCTACGGTGTGCTAGGGAATGATGGATGACATGCCCAGAGTGGACACGTGTGGCTGAATGTATTAGGGGACATCCAGGCATCAGGAAAGGGGCTCAGGAAGTGGGTGGCCTGTCACTCACTTAGCTCTCTTACTCCACAGGGTTGCTACTTGTTATTGCCACTTCCTTGAGGACAGCACAAGGGGCTGGTAGCTGCGGGACCATGATGCCACACCTGTCACTGACCCCTTCTTTCTCTCACAGCGCTGTTGGGGATTTCCAGATGGATGACAAAACCAAAGCCCTCCTCAAGTACACGGGGGAGGTGACGTGGATGCCTCCAGCCATCTTCAAGAGCTCGTGCAAGATTGATGTGACCTACTTCCCCTTTGATTACCAAAACTGCACCATGAAGTTCGGGTCCTGGTCCTACGACAAGGCTAAAATCGACCTGGTCCTAATCGGCTCCTCCATGAACCTCAAGGACTACTGGGAGAGCGGCGAGTGGGCCATCATCAGGGCTCCGGGCTACAAGCATGACATCAAGTATAACTGCTGTGAGGAGATCTATACGGACATCACCTACTCGCTCTACATCCGGCGCCTGCCGCTCTTCTACACCATCAACCTCATCATCCCGTGCCTGCTCATCTCCTTCCTCACCGTGCTCGTCTTCTACCTGCCATCCGACTGCGGTGAGAAGGTGACGCTCTGCATCTCGGTGCTGCTGTCCCTCACCGTCTTCCTGCTGGTCATCACTGAGACCATCCCATCCACCTCGCTGGTCATCCCGCTCATTGGAGAGTACCTGCTCTTCACCATGATCTTCGTCACCCTGTCCATCGTCATCACGGTCTTCGTGCTCAACGTGCACTACCGGAGGCCAACCACGCACACGATGCCCATGTGGGTGAAGACTGTTTTCCTGGACCTGCTGCCCAGGGTCATGTTCATGACCAGGCCAGCCAGCGGTGAGGGTCAAACTGTGAACCTGAGGCCCCTCTATGGCGCCGAGCTTTCTAACCTGAACTGCTTCAGCCACGTGGAGTCCAAGGGCTGCAAGGAGGCCTACCCCTGCCAGGAGCGGACATGCAGCTACTGCCACCACCGCAGAGTAAAGGTCTCCAACTTCAATGCCAACCTCACAAGGAGCTCCAGCTCTGAGTCTGTCGACGCAGTGATGTCCCTCTCAGCTCTGTCACCGGAAATCAAAGAGGCCATCCAGAGTGTCAGGTACATTGCCGAAAACATGAAAGCACAGAATGAAGCCAAAGAGGTAAGGATGTGATCGCTGTCTTATCATTCAGTCACTCAACAAACATCGATGGGTTCTTATGTGGCGAGGTGTGGGATATAGCTTAGAAAATCAGGCTCTGGAGTCAGTGGCCTGTGTTCAGCTCATCCTATGTCCTGGGGTGTGTAGGGACCTCACCAATCTGAGCCCGTATCTCATCTCTAAAATGGGGCCACCAAGCCTGGGAGAATGTGATGCCAATGGCTGCCACCATCTGGGCCCCTAGAACACCGATGCTGAGGGCACAGGCTGGGACAGTGGCAAGGGGCAGGAATCAGCTCCATCTGGTGAGCATTAACCAGCCGAGCTTCGACTTTCATTTTTGTTCTCTGTGCTCACATGGAGAAAGCACCTGCCCCTGGCTGGATGGCTCACCAGACATTCCTATCACACATGCCTGAGTAGACGAGACCCGGGCAAAGACGGACTGCTTCTCGCATCCTCGGATACTCCGCCTGCTGCTCTCCAGGCACCTGTCTCCCCTCAGTCACCACACCCTGGGGTGTTCTGTTGACTGACATTTCCTTGTCTCGAACTCCTTATGCGTACGATCACATGGTAAAGCTCTCTCCTGACTCCTTTCATTCAAGGCAGTTCCTTTGAAGACTGTCCTTGTTACTGATTCTTTCTTAGGATTTTTTTTTTTTTTTTTCCAGAACCGGGGATTGAACTGAGATCCTTGCGTTTGCCAGTCAAGCGCTTATCCTACTGAGCCATGTCTCCAGCCCATAGGATTGCTTTTTTGTCTTGGGTTTTTTGTTTTGAAACTTGCAAATACTGTCACGTTAACATGCGCATCAGTCAAGAATCATAACAAACCACTCAACAGAGCATAATGGTGGGTGGGTAAACACCATACAGAGGCCCTGGCCAGCCCCAACCCAGTCCACTTAAGCTTCTTTTAAAGTTTTTATGTCCATCTAGGGTCATACATGAGGATGGAGCCAGGATTCAATCCCAGAAGGTGATTTCCCAAGTTCTTTTATCCATAATCAGGCCATAGGAAGGAATAGGCTCAGGCAGGGGTCAGGCCAGCTGGGGATGCTGCAGGGCATGTGGGCACAGTGACCCTATGAAATGCATGTGGTCTAAGAGCCAGTCAGCCAAGGCAGGAATTGCATGGTGGGGCATTGCTTATAGTCCAGCCTTCCCTAAAGGGAGCCTGGTTCCTCTAGTCTGTAGGCCATGCTTCTCTCAAGAGGGGCCAGGGTTGCTGGGCCCAGAGGTGGGTTAGCAGTACACCGGGAGCAGGGGTACCCCTGATGAGTCCATGCCAGTGCTCTGGAAAGATGCTTTGTGGTGGGCGGGGTACCTGGAGCCCCCTACAGCCTGAGCTTCCAGGCAGTGGCATCTGCTGGCATCTGCTGGGAGATCTGCACTATCAGTTCATCTTGGCTGAGACCTGAGCTCACCAGGCTGTCATGGCCACTGTCCAGAGCAGCAGCAATGGGAGCAGCAGCCTGGACTGAGCACCCCTCTGAGGCCTGTGAGCGAGTGCAGCTCTTTCAGGTACTAATACAAATGATGCCTCATACCAGGTGGTCCCCAGCATCCTGCTTGTCCTGATGCCTTTGAGCTTGATGCCAAGGTAGCTGAAACTGCTTCCTATGGTAGACTTGAGCTGCTGGCTATTCCTGGAGGCTACATGGTCAGGGGTAGGGGGTACCCATTGTGCTTGTTGGCCCAGTTAGCTTTGCCAGTCCCCTCCACAGAGTCCTCAGCAGACAAGCAGGAGCTGCTGCCCCCCACACAGGCCCCACAGAGCTGCAGACAATCCCAGCAGTGACAGGCAAAAGGCAGCCCAGCATCCTTCCCACTCCTAGGGCTGCCAGAGAAGGCAGCAGGTAGGAGGCTCAGTGGCTGGTTCCGCAGACCCAGGGATGAAGGTAATACTATCTGGCCTGTGGTGGCCAGGGTCCTTGAGGTCTGAGCTATAGGTACGTTGGCCTGGTAGAGGCTGGAGTCATTGTAGGTCTCCAGGAATAGCTCTGTCGGCTGGTCCCAGGGTCCTAAGCGAGCCAGCCCAGATGATGATGATGGTTAAGACTGTCCTGGTCAGGGAATGGCTCTCTGAATAGTTTGCTGCAACCAGGCACCTAGAGCACAGATTTGCGTCTCTGGTCTTGGTTTTTTGAAATGGGATCTCACTATATAGTTCAGACTGGTTTTGAACTCACTGTGCAGCCCAGCTGGCCTTGAACTCATAGAGATCCTCCTGCCTCAGCCTTCCAAGTGCTGGCTTTACAGGTGTCGGCCACCATGCCTGGTGAGAGCTCTGCTCTAAGTTCGTTGACAAAAGATACCTTTTTTTGTGAAAAAGCTATTCATAATCTTTTTGCCTAGTTTGAAAAATTGAATGAACTCAGTTGTATTTTCTCTAAAACTCACATGCCAGAAGTAATGTCAAGGATGGAGACAGAAAAGTGTTACATAAAGATGCCATGTGGTGGCCGTGACCCTCTCTGTACACCCCCCCCCCACAGGTAACCAGGTCACACTTGGTCCTCTTGAGTCTCTGCTCTACAGTTAACCAGCCCTGCTGTAAGCTGCTGCTTAGCAAAGAGCTATTTCCCGAGTGACTTTGGCACCTGCTCTGTGGTGGAAAATTAATGAGGGGCACCACTGCCTGCTCCTCTTTGGCTGGCACCCAGGGCAGGTGGCACAGGAGGAGATGGCTTGGCCACCCTCACCCCACAGCCACCCTCAGAGCAACTCTGAAATCTGCAAGGCCCCAACTGCTCGCAAGGTTCAGCCAGGAGGTTTGAACGGCCTTGAGGCCTTTAGGTCGGATGATCGCTGTGCTCAGGCAGGGCTCGGTGACCCGTGTACTCCCTTATCTGTCCCATAGGGACAACTTGGGCAGAACCCTCCATCCTTTCCTCACCCACTTCTGATACACCTATTTCTTAAGTAGCAATGATTTCACTGAAGGTTGAGCTCTAAGTGCCCATACATAATCTAGCCCTTTCAGATCTTAGGATTTATATTTATTCCAAAAATCATTCCTTAGACACCATGCAGGGCATTAGAGTTTCAGAAGGTAAGACATAGAGACAGACAAGTAAATGAGAAAAGAAGTGACAAACTGAAGAGCCAGGCCAGCGACTTCGTGTGGTGGGGCAGTGGATCTGTGGTACAGAAGCACGTGTGTCAGTGTCCAGAGCAGCCCCAGCTCCGCTTGGTCACCTGCCACCACATGGGAACACAGTCTGAATTATCTGTTTCTTCAAGAGAAGGCAGAGGTCTGGTAGGGCTGGCGGCTTGCCTCAGGGATAGGAGGTGGCACTTAGAACAGAGAGCACTGCTCAGGGCTCGGGCGAGTTGGGCCAGCAGAGGACCCGCCTACCCCCTCGCCCCAAGTAACTGACTCACGGCTGTTGTTCAGTGTACAGAGACATCACTCTCCTTATGGGCTGCTCCCGCCTGGCTGGGTCTGACTGTCCTTGGCTTCCAGGCACCCTGACTGAAGCCCAGGCTGTTCCCAGCCCCTCATCCTGAGGATGCCTCTGAGATAAATGGGGAAGGTAGGTTCCCATATCCTTTGCTCTGAGAGTTGGCAGGGCTGCGACCACAAGCTGCTGCCATGTCCTCTGTCCTCCCCCTTGCCGCCCCATGGTGGCCTGGGCCAACTCACTGATCTTCCCCATACTCTTGGAATTACTTTGGTTGACTGCCTTCCAAGCCAGTACCTATTCCTGACTGTAGCCACTGTAGTTTCTCTGAGGATCAGCCAGGAAATTGACTTTGACAGGCCAGATGTCTAGGAGGACCTGGGGTGTATGGTTGACATCCCCACTATCCCCAAAATCCAAGAGCCTGTGAGCAGCACAGCCAGCCACCATCAAGTCTCCCAAAATGGAGACAGAGCCGGGCACAGTGATACATGCCTAGAATCCCACACTCTGGGAGGCTGAGGCAGGAGGACGGAAAGCTCAGTCCTGCCTGGGCACTTTCCCATCACTGGTCACAATACCTGCCACCTACAACTTACAGGACCAGAGATTTATTTTGGTGCACGGGTTCAGCTCATGGTCAGCATGATAAACTCTCCGAGCACTGAGCACTCAGTCACAGGCTGCAGGCTCAGTCCCTGGCTCTCAAAGCCCGGAGCCAGTGATGGAGCTACACTATGCCAACTCATGATTTCTATCTGAACTACCCTGCTTGGCAACCTGTGGGCCTGTGAGTGGTGTCCTTCCTGCTAAATAAAATGCATGGGAGGCATGGATTAGACTGGGCATCTGCCCCATGCCCAAGAGACTGTCAGTCAGTTTTATCACAGGAACTGAGTGTTCCCCAGTTGCAGAAGGCCCCACAGCCAGTTAACTAAATTATAAACAGCTAACTAGGTAAGCTATAAATGATGACTACTAGTGGTTATAGCCCATGTGGCCAGTGGATGATTGTCAGAGCTGCAGCCAAAGGAGTGTTCTGTGCTTCCCTCCTATTTCCATGTAAAATCATCAGCTCCCACCCTCAGTCTGCCCTTCGCTGGGAGCTGTCTATTCAAAAGGGATTTGTTTGTGCTGCTTGAATAAACTCTGCTGGATTTCACTATTGTGAGGATTTTCCCTTCTCAGGCTGGACAATCTGGAGCCCGAGGCAGGAGTGTCACAGAGCCCACCCTGGCTTATGTCTTCTCAAAGCCTGTTGGTCATCTTCCTAGGCTTGCACTTGGTCTCACCTGTGAAGGGCTAGAGTTAGAGCTAGGATTGGCTTACCAAGTTAGAAAACTATGTAGTTAGTTCCCCTGGCCCCCCAGAAGTGGTTTGTTTGAGCAGTTTTGACAGCTGACCATCTTGGCTGTCTTGTTGGTGTGTACAGGTCTTGTGTGATTCTTTTTTGGGCAGGGGGTGCCAGGGGATTGAACCCAGGGCCTTCGCACTGAGCCAAATCCCCAGTCATCCCCCCACACACCCCTTTTTATGTTTTAAAATAGAATCTTGCTGAGTCACTATGTTCCCCAGCCTAGGCCCAAACCT